TCACCGCGCCGCTCCTCTGACGTCACCACCCCTTTTGACGTCACGGCCGCCCGCTGTGGGTTGGGGGTTTTGACAGGAAATGACCGTGGTTCCCTCATTGGATACTCTCCAGGGGAATGTGGGACTACAACCCCCATCCCTCCCCACAACTTAGCTGGGGATAATGGAAACTGCACTCCCAGCGCATCTGAGGGATGCCAGGCTGGTGCAGGACCCCGCTAGGTGCACAGGCTGCGGCCGCATCTCCTGCTTGCCCTAACCAAACCATGGTTTAGTCTGCCAGTCCATCTGAGTTGGCGCTGGCCTGCTTGGCACAACGCCTGGGGCTAAATCGCCACTGGCCACTTTGCCATTCCCTGCGCCGTGCAAAACAGAGCTCGGCCCGGACCTGCCGCTTCGGCCTCCACAGGACTAGAAGCTTAGCTTTTGAGTTAACTTGGGCAACTGGGAGTGGGTTTGGAGCCCGACACTTTCCTCCTGCTTGAGGAATGCCCCCTGTGCAGTTTGCGGCTGAGCCCCGGCTGGGCATCCTGACCACTTTTGGAAGGGGTGTGACTTTCCAGATGCTGATCCCCAACTTCCATCAGCCAGCATCTGGAGCGCCACAAGTTCCTGACTCCTGTCTTCGATCCTCCAGCCAACCCCCAAATTCAATTTTTACAGAAATGGAAAACTAGAACGGATAGAGTTCGGGTCCCGAGCGGAGGACCCCAAGGCCTATTCCTTTCCTGATCTCCCCAGCTGCTTTCCCTCCTGACAGCTTAGCACGCCCATGGTGAACCAGCACGTTTCCACACATGACATGCGTGCCCAGGCCAGGCTGTGAAATGAGCTGCTCTGATTTTTGCACAGCCCCAATTTTGCACAACTGACCTGATTTTCAGCAGCCTTCAAGTTTGGTCAGTTAACAGCTGACAAAATGTCCACACATTTGACCTGCAGTTCCTAAATAACTGATTTTCCCACATGTGTTATTCTAGCTTCTCCATTTCACCTGACTTGACCTCTGCTTATTTTTTGCCACTAATTTTTTTTGTCCACATAGGGTTCTCCTTTCCCAGTCAGAAGAAACTCTGGACTCTCCTTTGCCGAGTGAAAGTATAAATTCTCCACTGCCAAATCTAACTCCAAGACACCAAGAGTTGATTGCAACGCCTTGTGGCCCTGTAAGTATCTGAGCTTCGCCAATCTTGTTAATTTAAATTAACTGGTTTGAGCCATTGGACTGTGTGTGTGTGATATTTGGAGAAAGGACTGACACAACTCTAACCTAAGATAAGGTACATTACAGCAGTGTTCCTCAACCTTGGCCACTTGAAGATGTGTGGACTTCAACTCCCAGAATTCTCCCCCCCCCGTAGGGGGGTGGGGGGTGATGGGTGGGGGGGGTCCAACATCCTTCACCGGAGCCACGTGTGGGACACCGCTTGTTAGTATCATTTAT